ACACACACACACACACACACACACACACACACACACACACACACACCAGCTACTAGAAAGAAAGGTCAAGTGTGTTTATTAAATATCTCAAAGAGAAAGAAGCCCTAATTAGTGTTTTGTCAGTTGACTAAAAGTATTAAATTTAAACAGACTGAACATTGATAAATGGTTTCAAACACACTTAAGTGTAAACTAAATGCATGGCTGCAATTTGTTTTCATTGCACAAGCAATAACTTAATTGTATGTGAATGTTACACATGTACAACCACTTAAAATCCCCGAATAACACTGAGCCTGGTCACCCGAGATCATATTAACTAATGCTCAGTAAAGTCAACAAATACAAAAAAAAAATCACAATGATTCCAAAGTAGAGACCTACCCATTATGCAGAGTTAAAGCACTATAATACTGCTTGATTAAGGTTTTGACTACAGTATGTCTTTGTTAGTAGTGTTGCTCAAATCGTACCTTGACAGAAAGCTGGATATTTGACTTAAGCCTTTATGTTATGTAACATTTAATGCTGACGAGACCCTCCTCCACACACACACACACACACACACACACACACACACACACATACACACGCGCGCGCGCGCTATAAAGTCAGCTGTGGTCAGAGGTAAAAAAAAAAAAAAAAAAGGGTCTAATAATGACAGAACAAAAAGCCAAACCATCATTTGATCTATGGAATTATTTATTATGGTTAAAATAACCACCTTAATTTGGCTATATAATTTAGCAAGAATACAAATATTGAATTGCTAATTCACAAAATCAAGAATTTAAATTGGTCTAGCTATTATGCAGTCAGAAATTGCATACATTAATTCAATTCCATTTAAAATATATATTTTTAAAACTACAAACTTGCAAATACCATTTTTTAACAAATAGTACATGTAATTTATAGAAATCAATGTGTATATATTAAAATTACTGGTAGTCTAAATAAGTTTCAAAGAAATAGCCAGTAGTCAAGTAAAATATGTTATACATGCTTATGGAAAGCTGCTGTAGTTGATGTTTGTAATTTTTTTATTTCATTTATCCTTTATTTATACAGGTAGTCTCATTGAGCCACGATATTGTTATAACAAGTTTAAATGTTTACCTTTCAGAAGTGGGAGGGCACAGTCCTGCAATTCCATGACAACACCTTCCAGAACCGGCAACATGGGCGCAATGTCCAAAAGGAGCAAGAAGACTGACTGGCAGGAAAAAATAGATTAAAAATCCATAT